ACATGACTCTTTCCTACGCTGAGAGGCGAATCCCATGTATTTGACCACTTGAGCACTTCACCTATATCCCTCTTCAGTTCCGCTATCCCATTTGATCCTACGACCCTGACGTCGTCCGCAAATATGTAGCTAGGCGAGCAAAGGCGTTCAGGAAGATCGTTGATGTAGAGCAAGAAGAGGAGTGGCCCTAGAACTGACCCTGCAGGGACACCACTAGCAATAACTTCCACTGGTGAGTTAGCTTCACCGACCCGTACTTGGAAGGTTCGATCGGTCAGGAAATCAGTTAACCACCTGTGAATGTTACCAATTATCCCAAGAGCATCTATCTTGGCCGGCAGTAAGCGATGACATACTGAGTCAAATGCTTTGTTGAAGTCCAGATAGCATACTTCTACCTCCTTACCATCATCCAGTCTAGCTGTAACTTCATCTAAACAGTGCAACAGATTGTTGAGACAGGATTTTCCCTTTAGAAAAACATGCTGTGCCGCAATCAGCAGACGGTGTTGAGTGAGGTATTCGCATAAGTGGGTTCTGATAATTCGCTCCAGCACTTTGCACAAGATACTTTTGAGACCAACTGGCCGATAGTTCTCCATTTTTTGTTCCGGCCCTCCCTCGTGTATGGCGACCACAGTTGTCGTTTTACAGTCCTGTGGTATCCTATCCTGCTCTGAGGTTCTATTGTACTGGTGGCAGAGGGGGCCCCTATAACCTCAGCTGTGTCTAACTAAGGCTGGGTGGATGTCATATGGTCCGGTGAATTTGGTGGCGTTGAGCTTATTTAGAGTACTACGCACCTCGTCCGTTCCCACGAATGATTCGGGGATACTCAATCCAGTGGCGTGGAGGTCAGGTTGCGTTGTAATGAGCTGATCAACCCTGTGAACGCTTTTAAAGTATTCCTTGAAATGCACTGTTATGTCCATCTCTTGGATCACCACGTCTCCGTCGCTCAACATCAGGGGCCCTACCTTTTCACAGAGCCCTGCCTTAGATTGTACATAACGGTAGTACCTTTTGGGCTGGTATTTGGCATAATTTGCCAGCTTGAGCTCATATTGTCGTTTGATCCCCCGCTGAACCGCCACTGCTTTATTTCTATCCCTTGTGTACTGTGCCCAGGATCTGAGGCTGCCCGTTGGCCTATGGGTGCGCCAGCTCCTATTTCTACACTGTATCGCCCTCTTGATCGCCGGGCTCCACCAAGGTGGTTTGTTCTTCGCTGCCCTTGGTTTCAGGGGAGCGAATACATCCTGCAAACGCAAAATATTGGCCTTAATCTGGCGCCAATGCTGGTCTATAGAGTCGCTTTCGTGACCNTCCATCTCTTGGATCACCACGTCTCCGTCGCTCAACATCAGGGGCCCTACCTTTTCACAGAGCCCTGCCTTAGATTGTACATAACGGTAGTACCTTTTGGGCTGGTATTTGGCATAATTTGCCAGCTTGAGCTC